ATATGTCACTTCATTGCTTTCGTATTCGTGCTTCTTACATTTAATTTTAAACTTCTTTCATTCTTTATTTCATGTTTATATCTAAGTTGCTTTGTTCTTGTAAATTCCTTCTTCTTTCTTTTACATTGATACATAGTTTTAAACACATTACTATCATTATCTGAATTAAAACCGTAAATTCTTTCATGCAATCCATGAAGCACTTTCAACGAAGACGAATCAAGTAGTACGAATTTGATGCCGCATTATGACGCCAGATGGCATGGTATTCGCTACAATTGCTGCTCCCGAAGAGACAACCTTCACCTTCAGAAATGCGAAACTAACCCTTTAAATATGGCGGCGAGGTATGTACGGTGGTGACTAGATGTCCAAGAGCTTAATAAAACAGTTTATTATACTTCTGTTAAGATTTTTCCTAATTAAAGTAAAAAGGTAAAATAACTTTTATACATAGTCTGAAAATTTTCACGCACAGAGAGCTATCTTTATACCTGGGTATTTTTTGCTACCCACCCTTGGCCCTGGAAAATTTTCATGCAATTTTTTTAGGCTAATTTTTGGTTTTCAGCGATAAATCTTTAGTCTGGTGATGTCTAGCTTCAGATCTGAAACGTTATGGTTTTATATAATTTTAGTCTCTAGGTTTAACCATAACGCTACATATCCCGTGAAATATGCAGAAAACGTGCAATTAATGGCGCATTTTAAATTTTGCGCATTTTGTGGGAGAATATCTCCATTTACTAACATTGGTCAATTAACTACCTTTCACTCCCTAATTCTTGACACATTCTGTAGCCAATATGTAAATTTTATCCACCTCCCAACCATTTAAATTATAGGCAATAAACTCGCTTGAAAAGAATTTTCAGCAATCAAACAATTTTAATCAGACGAGTTTATCACATTTAGAAACGATTAGAAAGGTTTATGAGATGAAATATAGGCCTACAGATTTGTTAAATAATGTGCCCAAAGTTAGGGAGTGAAAGTAGTTAATTGACCAATGCTGGAAAGTGGAAAAATTCTCCCCCAAAGTGTGCAAAAAATACACTACGGGATCTGTAGATCCACAGCTCATTCTTGCAGTATTACAAATCCAACCTTTAGATATTATAATATACATCAGTATAATTATAAGCTTATCCACTGGTTGTGAGTGGGAAAGCTCTTTCATCAAACCTTTAACAGGAATTATTCCCCTCGGACAAGTCCTCGAGGTACATTTCCTTGTCGCGGGTTTGATTGATTGATTGTATGTTGTTTAACGTCCCTCTTGAGAATTTTTCACTCATATGGAAATGCCGCCACTTGTTGGTGGAGGGCTACAAATTTTGTCCTATGCTCGGCACTCGGGGCCTTTGAGCAGTGAGGGATTTTTTTCGTGCTAGCACCTACTGCGACATGGGACCTCGGTTTATGCGGTCTCATCAGAAGGACCGGTCTCCACGTCCCACAGTGGGAGTCGTAAGGATTGACTCCTTACTTCGCGACTCGAGAGCATACGCTTTTACCACTGCATCACGCGGGCGATGTTGCGGGTTTGATAAGAGACCTATTCCACTCACAACTTTCATTTTGAATACTTTAAACCTGCTAACAGTAATGTACAAAATATTTTGCTTTGGATTATGGACAGATCAGTTGATGTTCCCGCCAGCAGGTGTCTCGGCGGCTGATCACTTCAGCTCGCCATCACCAGGGAGCACCAAGAGACGACTATTAAGTGTCCTGACCAAGCCCCTCAATACACCACTGCCTGTACCAGTGTCCTCAGAGAATACTCCTACAGAAAAAAGCACTAGTACAGGGACCAAGACCACACAGATTATAGCCTTTCAGCAGGCTCTGACAAATGATGGCAGACAGGTACGGGGCAAAATTTACAATCCAAGTAGACTCCTAAAGAGATTATTCACTTTACAGTTTTTAGAAATTGTCCTTTTCTTAGCTCACCTAAGACAAAGGCTCAAGTGAGCTTTTCTGGTCAAAATTTGTCCATTGTCTGTTTTTGTCCTTGTCATTATAAACTTTTCACATTTTCATCTTTTTCTCAGAAACCACTGGGGACCAATTTCAACCAAACTTGCTACAAAGTATCCTTGGGTAAAGAGAATTTAAGTTTAATCAAATGAAGGGCCACACCCTCTTCCAAGGGGAGATAATTATAAATTAGTGAAAAATTAATGGCATTCTTAAAAAAAATCTTCTCAAGAACCGCAAGGCCAAGAAAGATGAAACTCATGTTGAATTATCCTTAGGTAGTGTACATTCTATTTTTTTCAAATCATGACCCCCAGGGGTAGGGTTGGACCACAATGGCTGATCAAAGTTTTACATAAAAAGATATAGGGAAATCTGTAAAAAATTTTCCTCTCAAGTACTGCAAAGCCTTGATTAGTGATATTTATAATAAGTCATCCTCAAGTAGAGTAGATACAAATTTGTTCAAATTAAGACCTCCTAGTTGAGGACAGTGCCACCATGGCTGATCGAAGTTTTACATAGGAATATAAAGGAAAACTCCCAATAACAGAAAAGCAGTCAACTTTAAATTATTACAAAGTAATATATACAAACTGTTAAAAAAAAACAAACTTTAAAATCTTTCGCAAGAACTTTCTCAAGAAGTAATCTGCAGTATTAATATGGAGGCATTCTCAAGTAGTATTAGAATTCAACCCCCCCCCCCCCCCCCCCCCCACACACACACACTTATCCCCACCCACCCTTTCAGTAAATTTTTCAATTCGGATTTGGTTTGTGCATTTTCCTAGCTCATTTGGGCAATGTGGCCCCTGGGCGTCTTGTTTAGCGTATGACTGTACATGTGGATCACTTTGAAAACGTTAAGACTACAGATCCATGCAAGATGAATTTGAATCAAATTTTGGAAATTGATATGTTACATCTCTACACTTAAAAAAAAAAAAATTTTATGAATTAATGTGAAAAATTTTTCAGATAATGTAATATCACATGTACAACCTTTTCCTTTCCTAAGAAATGAAAATAAAAAACACTTGACTGTTCAGTTATCCAATGAAGTGAGCTCTGTAAATTTCATTTACCTATTTGAGAATTCTTTATAATTTATTATAGATTTTGTCATGGAAATGACCTTGTTACAGACATGAAGGCACTGGTTCGACAAAAAATTATGCACATTGCAGGTTGTGTGGAAAATGGAAGATACCAAAATTTGATACCAAGTATTGAGGATACAATTGAGATGATGATACAGTTATCACAGTTCACAGATATCGAGAACACGTTAAATTTAATGGAGGAGGCACTTCCACATTTAAATGGAATAATCAACTTAGGAGCTGATGAGAGTAGTATAGCTGCATGCCCTGGCCCAGAATTGGAGTATCATGCAAGAGGACGACCAACCTTTAAAATACCACAAGAAACATTAGAGTTTTTTCTTGACAATGGTTTTAAGGTTGCAGAAATTGCAAGGCTAATTGGAGTAAGTAAAAGAACAGTTGAAAGACGCCTTAGTGAAAATGTGTTGAGTGTAAGACAGTCATACAGTCAGATGACGGACGAGGAGCTGGAGGGTGAAGTGAATACAATTGTCACCGAATATCCGCATGTTGGTTACCGAACAGTATCTGCATTTTTACGAAGTAAAGGACACCGTGTTCAAGAAAAGAGAATTCGACATGCCATGCGTAATGTAGATTCATGTGGTGTGCTATTTAGAAGACTCGTTCTTTCGACTAGTCGAATTCAGAGGCGTTCATACAGCGTGACAGCTCCACAAGCTCTTTGGCATATTGATGGGAATCACAAGCTTATTAGGTGAGCAGTATTATTTTCAAGGAAGTTCAATCTATGAATTCCATTTACATTTGTATGTTATTCATGTCATCTTTTATTTGTGATTAGTCGGTAAGAAATAATTCCTTTATAATTAATCTTAGTGCCAGATACCGAAAAAACATTTTGTACATAAACAATGAAGCAAAATCATTGGTTTGCAGTGCTTAGTTTTTTTGCTAGATAAATTTGAATGCGAAACTCATGACAATTTCTCACACTCAAAGAATAGTTGGTTTAAATATGACACCCTAGAATATTGTTGTGCATTACTGCTTTTATCTATAATATGCTATATACATGATATATTTACTTTAAATTTAAGGTGGCGTTTTGTAATTCATGGCGGAATAGATGGTTTCTCAAGGTTACCAGTATTTCTAAAAATCAGCAACAATAATAGAGCAGAAACAGTTCTGAGGGCATTTATTAAAGCAGTGGAAGAATATGGACTTCCTAGAAGGGTACGTTCAGACAAAGGGAGTGAAAACATCTTAGTTGCTGAATATATGTTCCAACAAAGAGGAATCGAGAGTAAGCCCTTCATTGCTGGACGTAGTGTCCACAATCAAAGGTAAAAACATTTGTTTTTACCTAAGAAATAATTTACTATCTAGCTGAACTTTATCTATTATGTAAAGCATAACACTAAGCATGCTAAGTATGGTAAATTAAAACAAATGTATACATGTACAAATCTGCATAATGTTCAAAATATTTTTGTACATTCCAAAATTCACTTTAATAAGTCACTTTTACTCATTTGCATTATTTAATAGCACTATAGTTCCTTTTACAAATGTCCTTGCTAGGATTGAGAGATTGTGGAGAGAACTTTGGGCTGGATTTACAGTGACATATTACCGGCTATTTCATTTCATGGAGGAGCAACACATTTTGGATATTTCTAATGAACTGCACATGCAGGTACTTCATTTTGTTTTTTTACCAAGGATGCAGTTGAGCTTGGAGCGTTTGACTGAAACCTTAAAAAGAAGACCCTTAAGAACAGAGAACAATAGGTCACCATTACAACTTTGGGTCTCTGGACAACACTTGGACCCTGAATATGATATGCAGAATGAGGTACATAAGAAATTGATTAAATTAAGAACTGAAAAATCTGTTTACTCTATGGTTGCTCCCCCCATCCCCAAAGATTTAGAAGTTAATTGACTTTTTTTGATTGAGCATTGAACAAAAATAAGATACGGTACATGTAATTGCCAACCCCAAATACTTAAATCCTATTTGTGTAATGTAAGTTCAATAAGGTCTTGATTGGAAATTATAGTTTCTACATTATGCATGCATAATTGATTGTTATTGTGAAGCAGACTATCTAGAGTGCTTTATAATGACGGAATATTAGGGTATTGATAGAGCTATTAATTATGTCATCCAGAATGAAGTCGACGACGACATATTGAGACTCTACGCATGTTTTTGTTCTACAGACTGTTTCTCTGAGATGGCCGGGACAATCTTCCTGAAACTTTCCTCATAGAAGGATCACTAGTTGTAGTTGTGCTGTATGGTCATTCATTTTCAAAATGGCTACTGTTGCCATGGAAACCTGCAGAAAGTGACAAATTTTGTCCACGAGTGTTCTCTCTGGTCCCTTCAACATTCTTTCTGAAACTTTGTTGAAGTAATGATTAGTATCTGTAATTGTGCTCATTACATAAAAAAATGCAAATTGTCAATAGTTGCCTTGGAAATATAGGAAAAGTGAAAATTCTTTAACTTTGATATTTAAATCAAAGTGCTGAAAGGACTGATGCGAGTTGTTGGTTTCCAAGCTTAGCTAATAATTATTATTTTAGTGACGAAGAAATGAAAGTCTTGTTCAGTACAGGGCAATAGCAATAGCAGACTTTCTAGTTATTTTTACTATTGTAATAGTCACTTATTACCAACTGTAAAATATATGGAATCTTGCTTAGAACATATCGCACTGACATTTAAGCCCCAAAAAACCAAAATTTACTGAAAAAATGTCATCTGGAGCACTATAACACTATGTGGGTTAATATGTGACTGAATCATGTATCAGTAGAAAACGATATATTTAAAAACAGACAAAAGAGCATCTTCGTTAGCCAAGGGTGATGATCCACTCCTCTCTGCTCTGAAAAGAGGAGAGGAGCAGATTGTCACCCTTGGCTAGGGAAGATGACAGAGTTGCATTGTTGATAAGATATAGTTAATCATAAACATTATTTTAACCTTATGGATCTTAATGAAATGGTTTCAATACATGTGCATAGATTTTTTTTCTCCAGGCTGATATGTGCAGTTATGGCATCGATTACTCAGGACCTCCATCTGTCACTTCTGATGTTTGTGTTGAAATTCCCAACACTGAACAACTTTCAGATTTGCATATTTTTCAACTCAACAACATTCTTGATCAAGAGTCAGACTGTTTTGGTGTGGACAAGTTCCAGCAAGCTCTACAAGTTTTGCAGTAAGAGTAGTGATTTTCCTCATGATTGCACTGTTAATAACTTCATTTAGCGACAACTCATTTTCACAAGATACTGTATACAGGGTTATTTTGGCCCCGTCTTATTTTCGCTCTTTTACGTGTAACATGCAAACAAATTTGCCACGTTTTAAATTGCCCAGTCATATTTTTTTGAAAGAAATATTACTGTATTCTTTAAATTTGCCCCGTTTTAAATTCGCCAAAATGAGGGTGGGGCGAAAATAAAACAGGGGTGAAATTTTCCCTGTATACAGTAGTTTTTAGCACATGCGCACATGTGTATATGCTATGCCTACAGTCCAATCCTCATTGTTAAATTTATCATACATTATTGTTTAAATTAGTGGGAGTAGTTAAGTATGATTCTGTACATCAATACTTTTTCACCTTACCACTCACCATTAAAACTGTATATCTTTTGAATAGTGTATCTATATTTTGTAATATTCTGTTATATTAGGCAGTAACACAACAACTGAGGGTTTGTCTCCCCTTGGTGACAAGGTGCGCTGTTCCATCTCTCCCTCCTGTATAGATGTACACTGCTGCCTGAGATCCGACACACTACAGGAAATGTTTGACGCCTACACTTGTAACATGTTATGGCCTGAGTGTAGTTGGGGAGTATATGAAGGACATCACCTGTAACTCTGGCTCAGGTGTCTATTTGGTCTTGTTGGTTCTTGTTTATACAAAGTTAAACTTCACTGTATTGAAAATTGATATTTTGAATACTATGGATTGTCAAATTCATTTGGAAGTTCCAGCCACTTTTTTTTTATTATGTATTTTACTTTCAATATCTCAAATTCTCAGATACATGTATCTCAAAGATTTTTCTATGTCAAATGACTTTGAAATAATAAGATTTTACTATATTTGGTATTATAGTATATGATATTAGAGCTTTAAAATTCCTGAGTAAATGTTAAAAAGAAATTGTTCAATTTGATGTACTTTAAAAATCATATCTTAATCAGACTTTTCTCTGGCGAAGTGGAGGTCAGACAGTAACTACCTCCTGAGACTGAAGGACGAGATAAGGATAGCTGGCTATCTAAAGGAACCAATCTGTGACGGAATGGCTGGACTGTATGCTGGGGTTGTGGTAAATAACTTTTAAACAGCAGTGCAGAAAGTGACTTGTCTTTTATATACTTAATAAACATTCTGAAAATTCTTTAGCATTTTGTTAAGTTTTAACCTACTGTAGTGCGTAATCTTATAACATGCATTAGTCCGAAATCAGTGGAAAATACAGTGTTTCTGTTGATTTTTAAACTGTATGAATAATTTTTGTAGTCTTTTATATTAAACATACATTATATTGAGTATTTCAAATAGAGATTTCTATTTCCAGCCTGAGCATGAAATGTGACCTTGTTAACATATGACCTTACCTGTAACCTGCTGACCTCTTGCACTGGAGTTCAGTGCTATGCATCCTCCTCCACTCTACAGAGAACTTTAGAAGTTTACCTCAACATTGATTTCTGTACCAGCAGTTATTTTGAATATACAGAGTAGGGTAAGTAATTATGTTCCCCAAACGAAGTTGGGGAACATATTGTTTTTACTCTGTTTCTTCTTATTATTATTTTTCTTCTTCTTCCTGGGTACTTTTTTGTCCGGGAATGATCTTGTAAACTGTTCATCTGATGTAGGTAAAACCTTTTTAGGGTTAGTAGACATGCTATGTAGATTTGCCTAGTCAAGGTCATTTTGCGCGCACTTGCTTGCAAGAGCGCTCACGTGCAACACGTGAAATGACCAATATGATAGATATAGCCGTAATTTTTCTACTTTTTTAATGAAATGCTTTGAAACTGATAATGTGAGGATATATTAGTAGTACAGACATGGTGACATGGTCAAAATAGCGAGATCTCACGCGCATGCACGTGTGCTTCACTCTGATTGGCTGAAACTAAAGTCTCAATATCTTTCTTGTTTTTTGACAAAATTCTTTGAAATTTTGAACATGGTCATACATTTTGAAGATCTACAGCATGATATATAAGAATTTTCATGAAAGCATGCGCATGCACCTATGCTGCAATCTGATTGGCTAAAACTTTAAATGGCTATAACTCCCTTGGTTTTCAGCCAAACAGGATGGGATTTAGAACATAGATAGTCTTAATGGACCCCTACAAGAAGGTATGGTCATCATGCACATGCATGCGTGTGCGTGCACTTGCAATGCGTATAATTACAAATGCACTTGATTTAGCGTATTTTCGAATACCTTTTGATTAAATGCATTGATATTTAAGTACACTAAAATAAATTAATAATGTAGATACAATGATATGGTCATTCCGCATATGCATGCATGTGTGCACACGTGCATGCAAAATTTGATATATATACATGGCATACTTTAGGAAAACCGTTGTTTAAGTTTAAGATGCCTAGAGTTTAGTTTATTTGATGAAGCTTAGAGGGAATGAGGCACCAAAATGAAGTTTGGGAGCGTTTGGGGAACATCTGTAACGGTTCCCGTTACAATTAGCACTAGTTTAATATGAAGATATTATAAATGTTTTAGTCTCTGTGTTCAATTATATCAAAATATTAATGACTGAAATTTTCCCTGACAGCTTCATGTTGGATGATTTGCTAGAGGAGAATGCCTATTTGATTACTCTGGAGATCAAGTCATGTTTTGAAACCTCCCCTCCAAAGTGTCAATCCTCAGAGTCTTACACAGTGTTCAACAGGACAATCTTCCTCAAAACTAACTGAGACTGGAATGCAGCATTCAAACATACTGGTAAAGATTTTATCATCATTTATCATTCAGCATAATTTATGAGTTACCATATATATGTTATTCTTAGCTATGGCCATGAATGATGAGGCATCAGAACCAATTTTTTGACGTCTTTTGCAGGATTTTCCCTGTCCACCTGGCCGCCAGATAATGGTCTTGCAGATACAACAGAGGAACAACAACAGGATCACCTGATTTCCCAGCTGTTACACGAGATGTCAGAATCCCAGTACCTACAGACACCAGTATGTGGTGGATCGAAAGGAGTGTACAGCTCAGTTATGGCTGAAGCTCTTGTAAGATGGCTAAGGAGTCTTAGATCTTTATAGCATATCTTTAAATCAATTATTTTGCATAAGTACATGCATTATTTGATTTTTTTGGTTGCCAAAATGAGATGTTTTCCACTTTGCACCTTTTCTTGTCAATTTGAAATATTTAGGCCTAACTATTTTTTTTATTATTTATTGCTATCTTTTTTGTACTTCGTGCACTGTGTTCTACTATTTGAACATTTTTAGCTTTATCTCTGCAATCGCTCAACCTATTTTGGCACAAAGCATTTGTGGGCGAAGGGGAACAAAATTTTTTAATTAAATGGCTTTTTGTTAAAAACATGGAACAAATTGAATTGTTGAAAAATTGTTACATGATAATCAGGTGACCTAAAAGGCCCGTGGGCCTCTTGTGTCTTAGATAATGTACAATTTAACAAAATATCTAACTGTATAAATAAATAAATGTATGAATTATATATAAGTACATGTTTATTTAGAATAAAAATTTTGTATTGTCTTGCAATTGTGATCATTGACATTCATTTGGACATTTATGTGATCATAGACTTTGTATATAGTGTAAAAAAGGTTATAAATTGTGCAGTTCTGTTCGTAGAAATGCCTTTTGGGGCCTTTGAATGGTAAATAAAATATTTTGTATGCAATTAAGGTGTTCAATAAATATTTATCTCTGCTATCTAAAGTGTTGATAATTTCTGATCTAATAGCAAGTCAAGTAAAAAGGTATACAGTAAAACCTCATTATCTTGAACTCGATGGGACCGAGCTTCGAGGAAAAACTGAAGAGATATTAGAGATTTGGATTTTGAAGGCAAAATACAAAAAAAAAATAAGCAGTTGGGACTAAAATCACTTCGTCATAACCATGGTGTTCAAGATACTGAACTTCAACTGTATTAACAATCTGCTAGAAGCATCTTGAAATTACTTTTTAGTATGTAGTGTCTTCAAGCAAATATTGTATACAGGGTTATTTTCCTCCCATCTTATTTTCACACTTTCAAACAATTTTGCTCCCTGTATTCTTTGAATTCGCCCCGTTTTAAATTCGCCTAAATGAGGGAAGGGCAAAAATAAAACCTGGATGAAATTTTCCCTGTACACAGTATGCCAATTTTTTTTCTGATGGCTTAGTAGTTGTGATTTGAATATGAATTTCTTTGGAACCAAAGCATAACCTTTATCTAAAATTAAATAGTCTACTACACATCAATGCCTAATAGCCTTTGACTGCAATTGATCAGTCTACAGATAAACAGAAAGAGATAGCAATCCCATAATACATCTTGCCTCCAACCATATACTGTGTAATCATTGTCTGTGGGTGGCCAACGTTAGTGGGTCTTCTGTATTATGCTTTTACACAAATTTACATCCCCAAAAAAATGTGTCTTCATATTTATTTACTGAATACTGTAGAGGTACTTTTTTCCACGTGTTATTAATTTACGCTTTGTACGCAGTCACCAATTGTCCATGGAAATTTGTCCAAGTGTACTTAATATAAATTAAGGCATATAGTAACAGTTCAAGCAATCTGCGTAATTTTCTACACGCAGATTCAACAGAAATTGACATTCTGCTCAATTATGACCCCGTGGAAAAAAGTATGTCTACAGTATACAAGCTACCCAAAAAGAATTACCCAGGAACATTGACACCTATGAATTAAAACTATTCCATGGTATTAAATGGTAACATTTGATCACTGTTGATTCTTACAAGACAGAATTAAACATCACAATATAAAGGAATAAAGAATGGATTTTTTATTTCAATAAAGTGACATTTAGCTAAGGCCAAGAGAAAATATACTCCTTTTTCCTGTCCCCTGACCCAAAAAATTAGGGAAGATAGGTAGGGAAAAAATTTTGAGAAAAATTTTATTTTTTCTAAACTCAATATTAATGCAGAACATATAGCATGTAATAACAAGAAAATGATATGTTAACAGTTTACAGAGTAAGTTTGTTAATCAAGATTTATAAAGTAAAGGTATCCTGTACACTTGTGATGTATTAGTTCTGTAAATATTGTTGGTCGACTTTAGTATTTATGAAAAATAGTGACCCAAAAAATGAATATGTAATAAAAACTTTAAGGGTCGGAGGGTAAAATGTAGGGTAGGTCGGTGACAGGAAACAAGTATTTTTTAGTTTGGCCTAATATACATGTATAGCCCAAAAAAAAATCATGTAGAACTAACATTTTATCAAGATACACATATGTATGAAACATACAAAAGGATAACACAAAACTACTAGTACATGTATATGCCCTCGATCTTGTATTACAGGGTCATAAAAACATACATCCTGAATCCTCAAATAAGGAGATAATTAAATTAATATGGTTGTCCTATACAAAATACAGTGTATTGAATTCTTTGTATATTACTATACATGTGTATATTCAATTGTAAAAAAGTCTTCTTAAATGATTTATACGTTTTTTGAGCCTAATCAATCATCAAGATTTCAATTATAAACCTATTAATCACATTTATGATAATAGCACATTTTATTAGAAAATACTAGAAATATGTCTACAGGAAAGGAATTCCCCACCAAATAGGAAAGGAATTCCCCACCAAATGTAAACTAGAAATGCAACACAAAAAATTCTGTAAGGGAATGAAGTTTGATGAAAGTGAAAGGTCAAAATATTTCAATACAACAGAATAGCTCCCACTAATACGTATCAGGATATCAAGTTTGATAAAAATAATCTTGAATGGTTTCCTTAAAACCAAGTAAACCACAAATTTTACAAAAGAAGGGTCAATGTCAAGGAAAAGGTAAAACATAGGTAATCAAAGATTACGAAGCTCACCTCGACGAATGTTATCAGTTTAAGTAATGCAAATCTCACATCATATTTTCTTAATATTTAGTATTATCCCAACATCAATATTCTTGCAAGTTGTGTTTAACCCCTTACATGGCATATACACATTTATAAGCCTGTAGCACCAAAAACATGTATATGTATAGTGTAACAAAAACTCATAACTTTGTTTAACTGTAGATATAAAGGACTTCAAGTTCATTGGAATTGATCAGTTCCCAAAACTTTAACCTGGTCTCTTGTATGGAAAATATAGGTCAGATCCAGCATCCGAAGCAAGTCTGGTAGTGTCCATCCCTATACACATCATCCATGCAAGTTTGGTTCAGGTATATCTTATAGTTACTTGGGAATGAAAATGTAGGTCAGTTCCAGCATCTGAAGCAAGTCTGGTAGTTTCCATCCCTAGATGCATCATCCATGCAATTTGGTCCGGGTAGGACTTATAGTTACTTGGGAATGAAAATGTAGGTCAAACCCAGCATCTGAAGCAAGTATGGTAGCATCCATCCCTAAATGCATCATCCATGCCAGTTTGGTTCAGGTAGGGTTTATAGTTCCTTGGGAATGGACCTGCTCCTAGAACTTTAACCTGGGACGTCGGCAAAAGGGTTATAGCATAAGCTCATATCGACTTCGTCGAGGTGAGCTAAAAATGGTGGAAATCTACACTCAATATTATACCAAGCACTTATAGGGTCTACACTCAATATTATACCAAATATTTATGGACTATCTTTATATACATGTAATAATTCTCACAAATGCAGCTATATAATATACTGCCTTAAAGCTGAACACGATTCGTAAATGGAATTCTCGCTACTCTGCAGATCCCTATAAATAGGGTAGAACTTAGTCACTGTTCAGTACAAGCAGTCGACACCAGTGTAGACGGACGTATATTATGCAGAACTCGGTAACAAGAAAAATATGATACTTTGTCTAATGCAGGAAAGTAAGATACCAAATAAATTTACAATTATACCCATAGCAAAAAGAAATGGCATTTTTCCATTTTATCTCCATTTATTCAGCATTTTTTAGCCATTTTTCATTTCAAAACCATTTTTCCTACGATCTCTATCTTTAAATAGACCATTTTCTCAGAACCATTTAAGAACCATTTCTGTTAGAAAATGTATTTTAAATGGTGAAGTTCCTACTGCAGTGCAGTATATATAATAAATAAATATATGTATACTGTAATAAAATGTAAACATTTGTATTCTATTCACTGAAAGGACCTTATTCTTTTTGAGGTAAAGATTAGATAAAACTATAGTGCCCATTAATCATACACTATAAACCAATCTTGTTAATTTATAATGAAAATTTGTAACCTTTTGTAAATTCTTATTGATTAACATCAATTATAACATCTTTGTAAATATTTTCTTGCTTTTAGAATACTGCTTGCATACATTGTCATATGGACATGACATGGAGCACAAAAATAAGCACGCAAGACTATTAAGGACCCACCATTTTTCATTTTTTAATTATGGAGAAAATGTTTTAAAATGGATATTAAATGGTTAAAACAAAAACCATTTATTTTTAACCATTTGATAAATGGTTTTAAATATAATGTATAACAAGAAAAATATGATACTTTGTCTAATGCAGGAAAGTAAGATACCAAATAAATTTACAATTATAGTTTTACAGGACAGTGCAGTATATAAACAAATAAAGATATATGTAACTGTAATAAAATGTAAATAAAGGTAAAGCAAGATAACGAGCACAAACACGGGTCGCCATTCCACACCGGTAACCATGACAATAAAGCAGTCAGGTGTATCGAATGCTACGAGTATACCACAGTTTTGATTGTAGATAATGACATCGAAAATGGCGTATGCCTATTTACGAGTCGTGTTCAGCTTTAAGCACTTCCAAAACCATATGCTCCAACAACTACATTTAAAACTGCCTCTTGGAATGCAGTGTAATTTTGGATTTGTTTAATCCTTGAAAATGTAATTGATGGAGCACATGTGTTTATACGTGGAAGATCAAAAGATTCATGATCAAATTTAATCAGCCCACTTGATAAATAGGGGGTCAAGTTAGGACAGCCTAACAAAGCTTGGAGTAGGTGACCAATGTTCAGCTGAACCACCTCTTCCTGATCGGTATCAAGAGACAACCAGGGTGTTGAAATCCTACCCTCTGAAAAATAATTTTTATATGAATGTTCATTGAAGTCAGCAGGTGAAAGATGCAATATATTTCACATCAAAATTTATTTAATTTTATGCGAGATAGGTTAGGTAATTCCAAATTTTTACTGACAAAAGAATTGCAGCATATTCTAATTCATAGCTTACTTTCAATGTTCTTCAGACATTTCCCCCAGTTATAGATTATTATCTCTTCTTCCGCCTTTTCCTCCTCAATTTTGGAAAATACTGGGATGAAAAAAGCTTGTACTTCATCTGCAGAGGGGAAACTTCTTTCACTGAAGAAAGAGGCTGCCTCATCTGGGTGCTGTTGTAGTATTTCAAAGAGGCCATGGATTTTTAGTCCTGCAATTGAGAGAGAGAGAGTGAGATCACAAGACTCAAAATATAAAACACATAATTTACCTAGCTGCAATTGTGGATTTAGTACAATTTTGTAAGCAGGGGCTGATCAATAGATTTTCAATTAAGGCACCTGTCCATGGAAGGAGACACACCACTCCATGAATACTGTAGCTAGGAAAAAAGCAGAAATCAGTTCAGCATTATAAAGCTTAAATGCACGAGTGATCCAGACCTACCCCTGAAAGACAGCAGGGGCAAGGGGAGGAAGTACAATTTGAACAAACTTGAATATACACTATCTGAAGATGCCTCCAAATTAAACAAACAAGAGGCCCAAGGGCCACAGCGCTCACCTGAGCACATCGACTAGGAAAAAGCACATATCAGATCAAAACTGAAAGTTTACTGGGGGGGGGGGGGGCTGGCTCAATTTTAACTTTGCTGAAGGGTCAAATAAATATTTTCTGCAAATTTAGAACATTGCACTAGCCTGTTTTCAAATATTTGGATTCTCAAAACAAAATTTCATAATAGAACATGAAAGCACCAAGTGTCTACTTTATTTTGATATATGAAAATGGAAAGAGGGTGGTAGTTAATTAATTGATATAAGTACAGGGCCATTTTATGCATAAGATAGCTCTTGCTCTTAGTCTTGACAAATTTATCTATACCAAATTAATTTTGAAAAGAAAAGGCTGGCTATCAAATGACATATGCTATAAACTAACCAACAGCTCTTCTGTCTAATTCCCAAAGGTCATCATACAGCTTGATCAGATTGATTAAGACAGCTAGCCTGAACTCATTAATTAATCTTTAACTGGATGCTTGTCTACTCATTAATAACAATAGATGAATGGGTCTGCACTATCTACCATAACTTTTTTTAAAACATATGAAATACTAAAATTTTTTTTTTGTTGACATTTAATGTCCGACAAGTTTAATATAAAATTCATATGGACATGCTCATTCCATCCCATCCCATAAAATTTCTTTTTATAAATCAACAATTTTATATAATACAAGATTAGTCTACTATGCAATATTAAATTAGTTTTAATTACGTTTCATTAAATTCATTTTAAAACTTAGGCTAGCCAGCAAGAGTTATTTTTAATCCGAAGAAGCTCACACATTTGCCCAATACTCAAATATAGATAAGACCATGCTCTAGCTATTAGCAAACTGTCACACTCAAAACTTCATTATTTTCTCTCAACCCTGACATCTAAATTTTCTGTTATCAAAATTCTTCTTAAGTCTTGACCAGTGCTTGATAATTACACTCATGGGAGAGGTAGTATTTCTCTGACATACATTATATTTGTTATAGATTGCTGTCAAGTATATGCTTTAAAAAAATAAGTATTTTCTTGATTTAACACTTTTTTAATAAGGACAGTGCAGTACTCTTACATTAAGGTAAATGAATAGTAAAAAGACACTTTTTTTTTTAAATTTCATTTAAATAGGTCACAGTGACCTTGAATTACAGACACACCTCCTACCTAAGATGCATAAATTTGCCAAGTTTGATGATTGTAAGTCTTATAGTTTTCTAGTTACGGGCCGGAAAGGATTTTTCCATATTCGGCTATATCTTTTTAATGAAAGGTCAGAGCGACCTACCTTCTACCCAAGATGCATCAGATGACAAAGTTTGATAATCCTAGGCCTAATAGTATAAAAGTTATGAGCCGGAAATGAAAAGCTAACAGACAGACAGACGGACACGAAGCCTATAACATAATACGTCGCATCTTAAGACGGGCATATAAAAGTGCTATTATTTTTTCATTAATTCATAATTATCTCCCCTTGGAAGAGGGCGTGGCCCCTCATTTGAACAAACTTGAATCCCATTCACCCAAAGATACTTTGTGCCAAGTTTGGTTGAAATTGGCCCAGTGGTTCTTGAGAAGAAGATGAAAATATGAAAAGTTTACGACAACAACGACGACAGACAAATTTTGATCAGAAAAGCTCACTTGAGCCTTTGGCTCAGGTGAGCTAAAAAACCATAGCTTTGCTGTTCTTGAGAAGAAGATTGTTCCTATATATACTGCCGTGGTTAATACTTTCAAGATCCATTGTGGCTCCATCATACCCCGTGATTCATGATTTTGAAATCTAAACCACTTGAGGATGCTTCCATATAAATATCACCAATTACCAATCATGGCTTTGTTGTTCTTGAGACGAAGATTTTTAAAGAATTTTCCTATATATTCTTATGTAAAAATTTTACTCCCATTGTGGCCATATCCTATACCAGGGGGTCATGATTTGCACAAATTTGAATCTGCACTACCTGAGGGTAATTCCACATGAGTTTCATTCCTGGCCCAGCGGATTTTGAGAAGATTTTAAAAAGATATCATTCATTTTTCGCTATTTCATAATTATTTCCCTTTTGAAGAGGGCATGGATCTTCATTTGAACAAATCTAAATCCCCTTTATGCAAGGATACTTAATGGCAAGTTTAGCTGGAATTGGCCAAGTGGTTCTTGAGAAGATGAAAATATCAAAAGTTTACAACAATGACAGTCAATGGACAAATTTTGTTCAGAAAAGGCTTAGGTGAGGTAAAAATGGCTTATAACAGCCTAGCTGTTCTTTAGAAGAAGATTGTCACGATATTTACTCAGTAAAATTTTAAGCCACTGTTTTAGCTCTGTCATACCCCAAGGCTTCATGACTTACCAACCCTGAAATCTAAACAATCTGAGGATGCTTCTCTATTAATACGACTTATAATGGCATAACCGTTCATGAGAAGATAAAGGTTCAGGTAACTCTTGAAAACTTCAAGTTAAACATGTTAAAGGAAAACCTTTGAGAGATCAAGAGTTCGAGTTTTCAAGAGTCCGGAATTTTACAGGTTTGTTGGCAGGTTTTAGAATAAGTCTTAGTTGTACATCAATTTTAAGTTATTCTCAAACATTAGTTACCTTCAATAAATTGATTGATTGATGCCATTGGTCTGTAAAGTAGATAGTAAGCCTTCAAGGTTCTGATGGCCTCCTCCTTCTTCTCAAAAGTAAGAACCTTGGAATACCCAGTAGCATCCAGTAATGAAATATGTTCATTAAATACTTCTGAGATGGTCTCATTTGTGGCTTCTTCTATCTATAAAACAAAAAGTAGATGTTACTGACAAAAAGAAATACTGTATATACTCGCCTATAAGTCAGAATTTTGGGATTTAATTTCTGGTCCAAAACTCTATGTCCGACTTATAGGCGAGCAACAAAATGAACGGTATTGTATGATGTCAGTCCCCAGGATATATAGGCTTATTAAATACAACCAACTTCAATGCTTATATTTACATTCTCAAATTTTCCTTCTTCACAATTGCTTATTTCGTTTATCTTTATTGTGAATTTAGCGCCCTTCAAAACTGCCGTGGTTAATAGATGTAAGAGCCGTTTGTGACGACAAATGACGTTGCAAAGTTTAATTACGCAAACAAACACTGCGAGGAAAAAAAGTGACAAATTAATTCTGAATTTTTATGTTAATTTTTCAGAGTTATAATTTTTCATTAAATTGAAATAAAAATCTTTAATTTTGGTGTTCCTATAGTATTGAAAATGCATATAGTTCCTACTGTGTATTCTAAAGCAGGATGACAAGTTCTTGCGTGTGTTATAGAAATTTGAATGTTGTGGATTTCTAATGGATTTCATTTAATAGGAAAATTACACCGAATGTAAATATTCTTTTATAAAAGTTTACCAGGTAAGTACGTTAAATACTGTAAACCAACTATTATTCAGGTCATCTTTTATTCGCAATTTGTCAGTTTTAAATTATTCATTATTAATTTCCACGACTGAAAGAAAATTCTTACAAATTCAAAGGAAAATAATTACATGTAGTTCGCAGTGATTAATAGTCTGAAAATGCCCACAACCACCCAGCTTATGAAGGGATGAAAAAAACCAAGTCATATGTCTTTTTTCTAGTCTTCAGCCAATCTGAGTCTGATCAAGTGAGCTTTTCCAATAGGAAAGCCTAGCATCCAACTGTCTTGTGTTTTCTTTTAAGCCAAATTTAGCACACTGCTAAGATTAGGATAAACAGTATAATGTATGACACTGCTTCTCCGATCCATCTTCTAATATTACTACAATAATGCCTTCATCTTCAGATGTTTTTTTTTTCTAAATCTTTGTATCATTTTCTTTAGAGAAAAGCAGAATTTTGTATGGGTTATAGTCATTTAAAAATAAGAGCACCCAATTATACTATCTTTTGAATCAGTATATGAACAAAGTTTATAATCTTCATTACCAAGAATGCTTTTTTTTGGAAGACTTTCAAAAAGAACAGTTTCTTTTGATAAAGTTTCATCTCCTATTGTGAACTACCTGACCTCAAAGGAAAGGGATTGGGGGGGAGGGGGGGCTTGTGATTTTGCAAGGATATTCTGTGCTAAGTCTGGCTGAAATTACCCAAGTGGTTCTTAAAAGAAAAATACAAGGCAGTTGGATGCTGTCACTTTATCAAACTCAGATTAGACCAGAAAAGATGACTTGATTTTTATCATCCCTTTAGTATTTGCATTTTGTAATATATGAACATTTTTGAGTATGAATAAAGAATTTTGTTGAATCCTTTCAAATGATTAACTTGTAAAACAAGCCTCTGTATTGATGCACATTATCAGTTTATCACTTTAAAACATGATTCTTACATCAGTTATAGCCTTCACTGCATCTGCTCTGCATATTTCATTTGTTTTAACCTTTGAAAAGTCCGGCTCCAAACCCTGCAAGATGTATCGTGTAACATGCTGGTTCAAGCACCTTGGTCCTGGGTGACCACTAATAATCGCTTTTCCTACTGCTTTCCCTATCAGCCTATAGCGTTTACTGTCCAGAAGTTGAGGATCTACAGAGAACGTATTTCCTTCGAAAACTTTGGTGGCTTTAAAGAGGAGAGAAAAAAATTCACGAGAAAGTCCTCCTGCATCTATTCCTTCTTCTCCAATGAAAAGAATACTTATCGGTTTCTTCCAATCTTCTTCATCACCATCCTCTAGTTGTTCAATAGCGGTACTTGCAAACATCCTTCTCACAACTTTAAGAGTCCATGGTTTTTCATGTTTTTTTGTATCTTCCAATATATTTGAAATCTTTTCTTGGAGAGTCCTAAAAAAGTGTACAATTTTCAAACAAACATTTTCCTTAAACAATTTATTTAAGAGAAATCTCTATGTTAAAATTGCCTAAAGTAATAAGAAACTAGAAAACTGAAAAGTCAGCAAGGACCAAGTCAAGGGGTAAAATTATGAGTGCAGAAAGCTCAAACGTCAAATTTGGTATACTCAAGGAGAAGTCTTTTCACAAAGAATACATCGGTGAAATATGAAGCCATGGCTCCACCCATTCAAAAATCACAGGGAGAATTATGCTGATGCTTCTTAATTCATTAGTATAGATCATCTAGTTGATAAAGGGTACACTCCATGCTTAAATCATAGCATTAATATTATTTTGAATCAATTCATATAAAAGATTATTCCTACATGTGATATTGTCTGGTATAAAATACATTCACATACATGTTCAACTTAACACTGCTCTTTCCCTCTCCACAACTGGAGGCATGCACTGAAATGATTTCCATCGGATACTCTTTATTGCAGATCGGACAGGTTCCAGATGTCAGATTTGCTGAACTACAAAATAAGTACAAAATTAGAACAAAATATATCTATTTAACAAGGTTAACAATTATCTCCGAGAAATATTCTTATCATAAATTATGAAATTTATCTTTGATAAAATTTCTGAAGAAGTCAGATAACATTATATTCTTTGATAAATAGAATATCAATAGAAAACTGACCTCAGAAATTTAATATAATTAAAATTTAAAAAACAGAATGATTAATAAATGTACAAAGAAAAAGCAACAGCAACTGTATTCTTAAAATTTCAACATAATTCCTGAATATTTTTGAAAATAATATTCTTGTATTTACATTAGGCAGTAAAGAACAACTTAACATTGAATTTATTTTTAAACAATTATGAATCTTGTGTTATATAAAATGCCAGCCTTCAATGAATGCAAATATCATGAAGGTTTGACTTTAACTTCAAACAAACAGCAGTTGCAGACAAAGGTTTTCATTAATCTTAAAGTGACAGATAAAGAGAAGCCTACTAAATTTTCTGCAGCAGGCTAGATAATTAATCCCAAGGGATTAATTGTACCTCTCTCATCATTTTCTTCTAAAGTTACAATAAGAACTTTTTCAGTATTAATGATAGAATGGGGTTTTTATACAACTACATTAAAAATTAAAAACATTCTTGAATTAATATATTTTTAAAAAAAAAGGAAAAAAGTGAAAAAAAACTACCCTGGTAAATCAAAAAATCTTCTTTAATCTATTTCTTTTTTTAGGATTCAATGAAATCATAACTATCAAACAAAAATAAATAATAAAAATTTATATTTAAATCCACATTTCAGAGTGTTCATAGCATTCCAAACTGATTTAACTTCAAAACAAACTTCATTTGCAGACAGAGGTGGTAATTAATCTCAATGTGACAGATAAAAATAATGCTCTGGATTTTCTTCAGGAGGAAAGCTAATTAATCCCAGAGGGAAATAGTAGCATTTAGTTTACTGAATGGGAACATCTTCAGCAGTTATCTCTCTTTGCCAATGCATTCTTATATAAAGTTAAGGAATCTACCCCACCACCCCAGCTCCAAACCAAGGGACATAGAGAACCAAACTTAGCATCAAAATATGTATTTTTGCCTACTGAACTACCGTACCAAATTTGATCTTAATTGGGCAACCATAAAAAAAGTTGCCCGTTCATTCTTATGCATAGTTAAGGAATCTACCCCACCACCCCAGCTCCAAACTAGAAGACATAGAGAATCAAACTTAGCATCAAAATATGTATTTCTGCCTATTAAACTACCATACCAAATTTAAATTTGATTGCGCAACCATAAAAAAAGTTATTAGAAAAAAACAGAAAATTTGTGGACGGAAGAGTGACAGACGGACAGACAGACAGACAGACGGACGGACAGACAGAGTGATTACTATAGGGCACCCGCAAATCCTTGCGGGGCCCTAATAATTATTGCTGAAATTTAATATACATTGTATGTTAGAAAATTTAAAAAAAAACAGAAGTCTCTGTCGAGACTGTAGCTCTACTGGTTTGTACTTATAACAAAGGATAAGAAAAGAAGCCATTGCAATCAGACCAAAACTGTAGAAGGAGTGATGTTTTAAAGGAATTTCACAGACATTTCTATTTTTAGTACTAATGGCAACATCATTCATCAAAATCAAAAACCGATGCACTATTTAATGTATCTTAGTGTAGTCTACTTGTGTGCCAAGTTAAATTGAAATCAGACCAAAACTGTAGAAGGAGTAGTGTTTTAAAGGAATTTCACAGAAAATTCTATTTTTAGTAACCACGGCAACACCATTCATAGAAATCAAAAACCGATGCATAGAATTATGTGTCTTAGTGTAGTCTACTTGTGTGCCAAGTTACATTGAAATCGGGCCAAAACTGTAGGAGGAGTAGCATTTTGAAAAATTGTTTACAGACAGACACCTTACTATTGCATAAGCTCTTCTAGTCTCTGACTAGTAGAGCTAAAACCCGATAACAGAATTATGTATCTTAGTATAGTCTACTTGTGTGCCAAGTTATATTGTAATCGGACCAAAACTGTAACAGAAATTTCTATTTTTAGTAACCACGGCAACACCGTTAATCGAAATCAAAAACCCATGCACAGAATTATGTATCTTTGTGTAGTCTACTTGTGTGCCAAGTAATATTGAAATTGGACCAAAACTGTGGGAGGAGTAGCATTTCGAAGCATTTCACAGAAATTTTTATTTTTAGTAACCACGGCAACACCATTCATCGAATTTTCAAAAACCGATGCACAGAATTTTATCTTTGTAGTCTACTTGTGTCCCAAGTAATATTGAAATTGGACCAAAACTGTAGGAGGAGTAGCATTTCGAAAGAATTTCACAGAAATTTCTATTTTTAGTAACCACGGCAACACCGTTCATTGAAATCAAAAACTGATGCACAGAATTATGTATCTTAGTATAGTCTACTTGTGTGCCAAGATATTGAAATCAGACCAATACTTTAGGAGGAGTAGCATTTTGAAAAATTGTTTACAGACAGACAGACAGTCTCTGTTTCAAGAGCCGTCAGAGGTCATTTTTTGGTTGAATCTACTCTTTATGCCCTAATTCTGTCTGAGATTTATGGAATACAAATTCCAAATGAAGAAAATGGAGGGGAAAAAAATCCAAACGATGAATCAAGGGAACTTCAACCTGATGACACAGATTTAGATATGGAGAATCATTCTATAAAACTCGTCAGATTAAATCTTGCACAGAAGGACAGCGGTAATGCAGATGAGGACTTGAGTGGCAAGATGATAGCTTCCATATGGCATCCTGACTTACAAGTTATTTGTGCACTGTATGACGATATGTGCAATGAAAACTTATCAGCGGATGAAGCTTGTAAAAATGATGTTTTTAAGGGCATAAAAGACAAAATGTCAGGATTTATGAAGATCTCTCCACGAATCGCACAGCTACCCTTTGGTTTGAATACCTTAACATGGTTTCCCTCCTGCACACATTTATAAAAGCTGAAAGGACAGGGGATTGGTTTCTACACCTACAAACAGTTCAAAAAATGCTGCCATATTTAGCTGCTGCTGGACATAACCTATATGTTAAATCTGCATATATTTACTTGAGTGAAATGTGCGAACTAGAAGAGACACATCCTGATGTCCATAGTCTTTTTGCAGCAGGCTATCATGTTGTTCGCAGATCCAATAAGTACTGGGCAGGATTATCTACTGATTTATCAATTGAACAGATCTTGATGCGTAGTCTGAAAACAACAGGTGGACTTACCAGAGGCAGAGGAATGTCCAAAGATCAAAGAGCGTTGTGGTTGTTGTACCAATATGTGCAGAGATTACTCAGAGTCTACAGATATTGACAGAAGTAAACTACAGCACAAGTGAGCAGCATAAAGAAACTTCAAAAAGCAGACAAAAAGAGATCATAAAGACCTGTTAGTGCTTGTGAATCGGATAGCCGGAACCCTTTTGATAGAAATGTTGATCAACTTCGAAGTATCGAAACAGGGATGACATCAGAAAAAGATGTGAATGTTGACAGATGCAATGAGATTGGATGATAAGATAATTTCTTCATTGCCTGGAAATGATGCAACCACCTTCTCTTTCAAGAAAAAGAACAAAGTCATAACCATGCACACTAAACAAGCCGTAACAATCGGTAATGAAACTTCCCAAGTAGATCCCCAACTTTTATTTCAGAGGATAACAACTGTAGCTCGAGATGCATTTCCCGAAATGAGTGAACTTTTTAAATTTGAATTTGAATCCCTTTCTCTGTTTGATAATTGAATGCCACGAGAAGCGCACAAAAGCACCCTTGCAGATGCAGTTTGGACTGTCGGGTGAATGCGGGATTGATGCCTTACCGGTCGATACTAAATATGTACTGGATGGTTCTTTATTGCACAAATTACCATGGACTTCCAAATTAACATTTGGCGATATATAAAATGTATTGAAGATACGTTGCTTCCAAATTTCCAAACATATGGTTGTCTTTGATGGTTACTCAAACGGCCCCACAACCAAAGATGTTGCTCACATCAGACGCTCCAAGGGTCTGACAACGTGATGTTTTCTTCAATGAAAACACACCATTTGTTCCATCAAAAAGAAGTGTTTCTGTCTAATGAAATCAAACAAACAGAAATTTATCGACTCTTACAGAATGATAACAAAAGTCAGGATTTGCACAATAAATGCAGACTGTGATGCAGATTTATTGATTGTTCAAATACGTTATCGCAAGGAAAAGAAAATAATGTCGCTCTTATTGGAGAAGACACAGACCTTTTAGTGCTTTTATTGCATCATATTGATCTTGCGGAAAGCAAAGAAGTTTATTTTCTCTCTGACAGAATTAACAAAACTGGAAAAATATGGACATTAAAAAGACAAAGATACATTTAACAGACGAAGTTTGCGAGTGTATTTTGTTTTTACATGCATTGACAGGCTGTGACACTACCAAAAAGAATATATTTTGAGTAAGGGACAAATGTTAAAGAAAGTAAAAGCTAATTCAGCTTATTACAAGGAGGTTTTCTTTTTCTAACCCATTGCCGATGCCATCTAAAGAAATGCTTGCATCTCAAGGGGAAGAGGTTATAGCTGGTTTGTTTGGCGCTCAACCTTGCAAAGGACTAGATCTACTGAGATTTCGGAAATTTGTCACCAAAACATTCCGTGTTGAAAAACAGGTACAAGTATGCAGTCTCCCACCGACATATGCAGCTGCAATATATCACATTTACCGAGTATACCATCAAGTACAAGAATGGATAGGTAATAATCTTTTTAAAAACTGGGGATGGAAGTTGGAAAACGGGATTCTGGTTCCAACAAAAACACAAAAATGCACCTGAGGAATTATTGAAAATAATTCGCTGTAACTGAAAATCAAATTGTGAATCCAACCGTTGCATTTGTAAACGACATGGTATTGTTTGTTCCATGAGTTTGGGGAATGCCGTGGTACGAGTTGCTCTAATTCTATTGATGGAGACATTAATTTTGATGATGAATGAGGATCACTTTATGAACTTTTATCGACTTGAAATGACTCAGACTATCAAAAAATTCAAAAATCCTTATATTTTAAACATTTATTAAT